ATGCTCTCTGTCTCTCATTCTCTCTGTCTCAAATAAATAAATAAAATCTTTAAAAATGCTAGTTTTCAGTGAGCCTGGCTGGCTCAGTAGGCAGAGCATGTGACTCTTGATCATGGGGTCATGAGTTCCAGCCCCATGTTGAGTGTAGAAATTATTTTTAAAAATGCCAGTTTTCCTTGATGCCTTTAACTGGTTCATTGTTTTGCAGGGAATATCGCATGCAAGGCCTCACAGTGCAGACATTTCACTGTGTTATGCCAATCGCTCTGCGGCCCTCTTCTACCTGGATGAGTATGAAGTGAGTATCGGGGTGCCTGATGTGATTGGAGAGGATCTGTAGGGGGTTCACTGGAAGACTAGACCTTCAGCTCTGCTCCTACCTTAGAGCACTAAAACTGGGCCCTGCTGCAACTGGTTGAGTTGGAAGAAAATTGGTATCCTCCCAAATATGTTCTTTCTCCTGATGCATTTTTTTCTTTCTCCTGATTCATTTTACCTATCACGTGATCACGTGGGGTAGTACTGGTTGATAGGAGTCATGGCACATGGCACGGGGCCATGGATGATATCCAGTGGGTCAGCAGTTCTCAGTGTCAAGATCGGCTGTGAGATATGTTGCTAATAATACTTCAGGTTCCAAGTGTTTGCAAACTATTTACTTGTTTGTTTCTTAATAAGTGGAGCATGTTCAGGATTATCCCTGCAGTAATATGGCTCACCCTCAACATGCATTTTGAGTGGGCAAGTAAGTTTCACTGAAATGCCTGTGTATGCCTTTGAGGGAGTGGGCTTGATCTGAGTGGCTTTCTTCTCATCTTCCGATTGAGGACTAAAGCCAAGCTCTCAAATGTCATTTTGGTACATCCGTTTTAGAATTCCACAGAAATTTTTAAAATATGCCCTAGAGTTAAGAACTAGTTGAATAATCACAAGTTCACACTTACTGCCCTTTGAACTGAAAGAGACAAGCAAGGGGGGCACCTGGGTGGCTCAGTCAGTTGAGTGTCCGACTCTTGATTTTGGCTCAGGTCATGATCTCAGGATCCTGAGATCAAGCCCCACATCAGGCTCTGCACTGGGGCGTGGAGCCTGCTTAAGATTCTCTCTCTCTCGGGACGCCTGGGTGGCTCAGTCGGCTAAGCGGCTGCCTTCGGCTCAGGTCATGATCCCAGGGTCCTGGGATCGAGCCCCTCATCGGGCTCCCTGCTCAGCGGGAAGCCTGCTTCTCCCTCTCCCTCTGCCTACCACTCTGCCTACTTGTGCTGTCTCTCTATCTGTCTGTCAAATAAATAAATAAAATCTTTAAAAAAAAAAAGATTCTCTCTCTCTCCCCCCCTTTACCCTCCCCCCCCACTCTCGCCCTCTCTCTTTCTCTCTAAAAATAAAATAAAATAAAAGAGGCGAGCAAGAATTTAACTCTAGGCCTAAGCAAAAAGTCCTAGACAATTGAGGACAACAGTTGGAAGAGCTTGTAAAATATTTAACCCTTTATAACCTCCCTATATTGGTTATTTCTATTTCCCTTCTTATAGCAGCGATTATCATACATTGAACACATGCACTCTTTTCAGCACTTTAGGTATATTACCTTATTTCATCCTTAAAACAACCCTGTGAGGTATCCATGTTTTTCAGATGAGAACGCTAAGACACCGAGAAATGAAGTTGCTTGCACAAGGTCATCCAGCTAGTAAGAAGCAATCAGTAGTGGAATGCAAATCTGTCTGGCTTCTAAGCCTACCCCTTTAATCACTACAGTTCTTCTATCTCTAAGACTTTTTTTCCTCAAAACAGAAATATTTAATAAGACAAATACAATATCCTTGGCAAGTATTACTTAATCACTCAAAAGATCACACAGTAGAGTATGATTTTTTTTTTTTTTTTTTAAGATTTTATTTATTTATTAGAGAGAGAGAATGAGAGACAGAGAGCATGAGAGGGAGGAGGGTCAGAGGGAGAAGCAGACTCCCTACCGAGCAGGGAGCCCGATGCGGGACTCGATCCCGGGACTCCAGGATCATGACCTGAGCCGAAGGCAGTCGCTTAACCAACTGAGCCACCCAGGCGCCCCAGTAGAGTATGATTTAAAGAAATAAGCATGTGGTTATAGTTGCTCCATTTTTAATCATCTTTAACTTTCCTGTAGATTTTTGTTAAGATTTTCAGTAGACATTGAAGAGTCAGGACCAAGGGTCATGTGGGGATTTCCTTTCTGTTTTCAGATGTGTCTTAAAGACATCACGAGAGCACAGATGCATGGGTATCCGGAAAGTTTGCAACCCAAGGTGACGTTGCGTAAGGTCGAATGTCTGGTGACCCTAGGGAGACTACAGGAGGCAGGCCAGACCATCAGGGATCTTGAAAGTAACTTTGCTGCCAAACCAAGCCTAGCAGCTGCCCAGTTTCAAATTCTGCAAAGAAACCTCTGTCGTCTGAAAATGAAGGTACAGGAAAGGGAGAATCTCACAGCATCCTTCCCAACAACTCTAACGAAAGCCTTTGAGGATATGGACCTAAGGGAAGAGAATGAACAGATTCCCGGTGCATCATCATCTGTCAGCCTATGCATGGACCCTTTAAAAGGCCGCTATCTGATTGCCACAAAAGATATTCTCCCGGGAGAGCTCTTGGTGAAGGAGGATGCTTTTGTGAGTGTCCTTAACCCGGGAGAAAGGCCACCACTACATCATGGCTTAGAGAGCAAGTGGGATACCAGAGTTACTAATGGGGACCTCTACTGTCACCGATGTTTGAGGCACACTTTGGCCACTGTTCCCTGTGATGGATGCAGCTACGCCAAGTACTGCAGCCATGAGTGTATGCAGCAGGCCTGGGATCTCTACCATAATAGAGAGTGTCCTCTAGGAGGCCTGCTGCTCACCCTGGGTATCTTTTGCCACATCGCCCTGAGGTCGACTCTTCTAGCTAGATTTGAGGATGCCAGCGAAGTCATAAGAAAGCTCTGTGTTGAGATGAGTAACAAGGACATGTGTTCACCTGAAAGTGAGAATCTGGTACAAACACCCAGTTCTGACGCGGGAGGGGAGAGTGAGAAAAATGGCAAAACAGTTAAGACCCCAGTTCCAGGGTGTGATCTTAATGGCAAATACGAAAATAACTATAATGCTGTCTTCCACCTCATGCCCCATACTGAAAACCATAGCCCAGAGTACAAATTCCTCTGTGCTGTCAGTGTGTCTGCGCTCTGCAGGCAGCTCGAGGCCGCTGATTCCTCGAAGCCGGCCACAGCGCCTCCTGCTTGGCGTTCGGAGTTGCGTGCCTGGGGAGTGGCCATGTTGAAGCACATGCTCCAGCTGCAGTGCAACGCTCAGGCGGTGACGAGCATTCAGCGACCAGGTGAGAGGGAAGCTTTGTTAGCCTTACGGTACCTGGGGAGGAAGAGCTGCGAATGGGAACAGTAGTGGTGCTCTAATGGGAAAGCAGAGCTCGCTATCTTGGGTCTCCATGATTACGCTATTGAGAAGCTGTGTGACCTGAACAAAGTCTTTGATCGCACTCTGCCTCAGTTTTCTCATCTCAACAGTGTTTGATCCCACCTCACTTGACTGAGTCGTGATGGGTTTGTTTGTAAATATACTTCAAAGTTAAAAACCCTGTTACAGGGCACCTGGGTGGCTCAGTTGGTTAAGCGACTGCCTTTGGCTCAGGTCATGATCCTGGAGTCCCTGGATCGAGTCCCGCATCGGGCTCCCTGCTCGGCGAGGAGCCTCCTTCTCCCTCTAACCCTCCCCCCTCTCATGTACTCTCTCTCTCTCTCATTCTCGCTCTCTCAAATAAATAAATCTTAAAAAAAAAAAAAAAAACCCTGTTACAGAGGGATTTTTATTATGAAGGAGAACTGAAATAATAATCAAGACTACAGAAAGAAGAGGGGTCTGCAGGGGAGCCTGAGTGGCTCAGTCATTAAGCGTCTGCCTTCGGCTCAGGTCATGATCCCAGGATGAGTGGCTCAGTCATTAAGCATCTGCCTTCGGCTCAGGTCATGATCCCAGGGTCCTGGGATCAAGCCCCACGTCGGGCTCCCTGCTCCGCAGGGAGTCTGCTTCTCCCTCTCCCTCCACTGCTCCCCCTGCTTGTGCTCTCGCCCTCTCTCGCTCGCTCTCTCAAACGAATGAATAAAATCTTTTTTTTTTAATCTTAAAAAAAAAAAAGAGGGGTCTGCAGTTGAGTTAAGGTGTCAAAATCTTATTCATGTGACTCAGCTGCTCTGTCTCTACTCTTTCCAATTGACAGATTTCCCCCATTCTTCTGTTTTAAATTTCCAAGAGAGCAATCTGGCCAAGCATAGCTTTTCACACAGTACTACCATGAACTGTTGGCCAGCCTGTTTGGGCTGTCCTTTGGCCAAGGGCCAACAATCTAGGGGCCACCTCTAGACACAGATCAGCCTAGCCCTGCTTGCCTGAACCGGGTCCTATAGGTAAGGCTGTCTTATTTAAGGTAGATGGAGAGGTTGGATGTGCCCAGCATCATGAGTGACGCTGTACTGACAACAGATACTATTAGAAAAGAAACAGTGTTTCTACTTTTCTATTGTATGATCTCCATTTTAGCAGATAATGTTGTTCAATTCAATTAGGGCATTATACTTTTCTCAGTTTTCTAATTAACTCTATTGAAGGGAAAAATTAGATATTACCTAAACCTAAGATTTATAGACAAACTGATATAAATGTGGCTTTAGTAAGCTATACATGCTTAGTTAGCTCTTTTGATCGTCTCACATTAGGTAGCCTAGAATCTTGTCAATATGTTTTTGTCTTTAATTTTAATGCAACTGCCAAGTTATACAATGTGTAGGCGTTTCACTAGAGGTGTTTTGGAGGAAGACTGTCTTCCCCATCCTGAAACACATGGAACACCCAAAAATAGCCCTGGCTTCATCCTATAATGCTAGGAAATCCCATTGCAAGCAGTCTCTGTTCTCTTCTCTGCTTTCATTTGCTTCTTTGAGCCATTGCTACCTTCTAAAATATATCTGTTCAGTGTTTTTCCAAAATTATGTTTTCTCTTGGGTGAATGTCACTGGCATTTTAAGAAATATTATTTTCATTTAGTTTCGTTTTTGTGAACATAAAAAAATAGTATACGGGGCTTTCAGATTATAATGGCAGAAAGTTACCGACTCCTGATTTTATTGTGTCTTGCCTCTAAAGTACTTAATATAACATACAAAAAAAAGATACAAATGTCAGGAGCTCCAAAAACTATAGAAACTACTGTCCAAGGAAACAATAGCAGGCTGAATCCCTGAGGCAGAATGGCCAAGCCATGGAGACCAAAGGAGTCTTCCATCCACTTTCCACCAGTGGCGTACCCCTAACTGTCAAAGAATCTTAGCCTTAATGTTTTTGCTCCATGTGCATGACATTTCATTATAGTCAGGTTTTTATTTGCATAGCAAGTTTCAGGTAAAATTTTTCACAAGTTCTGCAGAATAAACTTTTGGATAATGAATATATGTATAGCCAGGAATACCTGTATTTTCTGTGGCTAATAAGGACTGGAGAAATAGATACATAGCATGATACTGGCTACCTGGAGTGATGGAAAGAGGATTGGAGACTTTGGCTTTACCTGTCAGGCTCTATATTTTATGCATAATTTATTCTTTATATGATGTTTTAAAAATATATACATAGAGTGGCACCTGGGTGATTCAGTCAGTTAAGCATCCGACTCTTGATTTCGGCTCAGGTCATGATATCAGGGTTGTGAGATCAAGTCCCGAGTCTAATTGAAATTCTCTCTCCCTCTCCCTCTGCCCGCCCCCCGCCCCACTAGTGCACACGTGTGCGCTCACGCTCTCTTGCTCTCTCAAAATAAATAAATAAATGGGGGCGCCTGGGTGGCTCAGTTGTTAAGCGTCTGCCTTCGGCTCGGGTCATGACCCCAGGGTCCTGGGATCGAGCCCCATATTGGCTCCCTGCTCCACGGGAAGGCTGCTTCTCCCTCTCCCACTCCCCCTGCCTGTGTTCCCTCTCTCGCTGTGTCTCTCTCTCTCAAATAAATAAATAAAATCTTTAAAAAATAATAAATAAATAAACAAATAAATGAAATCTTAAATAACTAAATTAAAATATATACATGGGGGAAAAAAAGACTAAAAGCAAAAATACCAAAATCTTAACAGTAATCAATTCTAAAGGTGGAGGTATGGGTGATTGCTACCTTCTTCTTTGAACTTTTACTACGTTTTTAAAATTAAAAACACTGATTCACACAGTAACATTATTCTAGTAAATTTAAAATGGATTGGGGGCACCTGGGTGGCTCAGTTTGTTGAGTGTCCAACTCTTGGCTTCAGCTCAGATTGTGATCTCGGGGTTGTGAGATCGAGCCCCTCGGGCTCAGAGCTCAACCAGAGGTCTGCTTGAGATTCTCCTCTCCCTCTCCCTCTGCCCCTCCCGCTGCTGTCTCTCTTGCTGATGACATGCTCTCTCTCTAAAAGTAAATAAATCTTTAAAATGGATTGTATACCTTTCCCATTATTCTAGGGAAGAAAAATTTAAAAAAAAAAACAGTTCACTGAGGGGCACCTGGGTGGCTCAGTCGGTTAAGCGTCTGCCGTTGGCTCAGGTCGTGATCCCGGGTCCTGGAACAAGTCCCACGGCGGGCTCCCTGCTCAGCAGGGAGTCTGCTTCTCCCTCTCCCTTGCCTGCTTGTGCTCTCTCTCTTTCTATCAGATAAATAAATAAAATCTTTTAAAAAAATATTTCATTTTTTTATTTACTGAGAGAGAGAGCGTGCAGTCGAGCGCACAAGTGCACTGCGGGGAGTGGGGGGGGCAGGCAGAGGGAGAGGGAGGGAGAGAATCCTGGAGGTCTGGCTGTTGTCAAGCTAAGGTTGCTTTTAGCCTCTAGGAAAGCATGAACATTAAGGCAGTTGTGACCTCCTTGAGGATTGCCGTATGCCTGTCTCAAGTATTTGTCAATGGGCTGCAAGTTGTAAGGAAATTTAATTTTACCTACTTTTCTTTTGCCTTGGTTCTCCTCATCACAGGGGTTAGCAAACTTTGTCAAGGGCCAGACAGTAAATATTTTAGGCTTTGCAGGCTGTGGTGTCTCTTTGACTCAGCTCTGCCCTTGTAGCACAGATGAATGAGTATGGCTGGGCTCCAATCACACTTCATGATGGACTCTGAAATTTGATTTCTTAGAATTTTTCACATCGTGAGCATTATTCTTTTCATTTTTTTTCAAATGTGAAAATGTGAAAACAGTTCTTAGACTACACTCTACAAAAACAGACAGCCAGCAGGATTTGGCCAACAGGTTACTGTATACAGACTCGATGCAGACAAGGATTTGGCAAATCTAATTAAGATATCTATTTAGAAAAAAGAAAAAAGCCCACAAAATGAGGATCAATGAAGGGGATATAGTCAATAATATAAATTAATTTTTAAGTTTTAAGCAAATTTTAGACTATTAAATTTGAAAGCATTAAGTAGAAAACTTTGTAGAAAACATAAATTTCCTACTGTTCTCCTCTCCTACAGGAGAACACTTCAAAAATCCAGTGATTGTGGAAGAAATTGAAAAAGATTATCAAAATATTTCCAGGGACACCTGGTTGGCTCACTCAGTTAAGCATCTGCCTTCGGCTCAGGTCATGATCCCAAGGTCCTGGGATGGACCCCAACATCAGGCTCCCTGCTCAGTGGGGAGTCTGCTTCTCCCTCTCCCTTTGTGGCTCCCCCTGCTTGTGCTCTGTCTCTCTGTCTCTCTCTCTAACAAATAAATAAATAAAATCTTAAAAATATGTATATATTTCCATAAAAACAAGCCAGACCCACTCTTTCCTGTGTAAGTTCTTTAAAACTTTTAAGGACCATATTTAGCTACATTTTTAAAAAAGATTTTATGTATTCATTTGAGAGAGACAGAGACAGCACAAGCAGGAGAGGTAGAGGCAGAGGGAGAGGGAGAAGCAGACTCCCCACTGAGCTGGGAGCCCAGCATGGGGCTCGATACCAGGACCCTGAGAAGACAACCGGAGCCGAAGGCAGATGCTTAACCATCTGAGCCATCCAGGCGTCCCTAGCCACATTTTTTTTTTTTTTATAAAGCAAAGAAAAAATATCTTTCAAGGAACTTATCATTTTTATACAATATAAAGTGTTCCAGGGCATGGGGAAACCTTTCCCACTTACTATGCAAAGCCAAGGATAAAAACTATTGATTAATCTCACTTGTGAATATCCCTGTAGGAACCTTGAAAAAATCACTGCCATATCACATCCGGCAGTTTATTGAAGGAATGCTAAGAGATGACCAAGAAGGGCTTCATCCAGAAATGCAAGCATATGGTAACTTGGAGGGATACACAGGTTT